CATTCTTGTGTGTCCTCACTTCATATCAACTGGACACTTTGCTCTCAGCTCTAGCCCTCCATAGCTATGTCCTTGTCTGTGGGCTCACTACCCATTCTTTTAATCCCATTGAAAATGATACTTTAACTGCTTTTTGATTCATTCCAGCAAAATGTATTTGTGATATTTAACTGCCAGTTATATAGCCCACTTTGTGCATTAGTATTCCATCAGATACTAAATTGCTTTGTTTTGAGGGTAGGGAATATCTCTTACACATTTTAATATTTTTTCTTTGTATGGCTTAGATCAGTGTTATGCATAGAATAGATGATGTACTATTTGCTGTTAAATTACACTCAATTATTTGGTGATACCATCCTGTTTTAGGCATGATGTATTTCTCATTTGTGCCATTGTTGCAATATCCTAACTGATCTACTAAAGTTATTCTGGTAAATTTCAGGTGGGACTGATTTCCAATTGACTCGGAATAAAATTCCATGCCTTAGCACTCAGGGCCCCCTAGCACCTTGTCCTGCTCTTGCTTTGTTGCTCCCATATTATGTGGTCTGGTCATACTGGATCATAGGACAAAAATGGTTCCCATCAGACTGTTATTTGATGCTATTTTCTTAGAATAGAATGCACTTTTTCCTCTTTCTGGTGATTTCTATGTTTATCCTTCCAGGGCCGCAGGAGAAGCTTCTTTCTTTGTTTGTTATCACCTCAAACAATCCCAAGTTATACTTTAGTTTGGATTCTGAACATTAGATAAACCCCAGCTGCTTGCCAGTGACAAAAAAAGTGGTTTTCTAAAATTATGAAAAGCTAAACCTCTGAAATCTCTGTATACGTCAAAGCATTTTCATCTAGCCAGGATAACTCTTTAGCTACCATTTGGGCTCAAATCAGAAAATAAACTTAAAAATAGTATAGTGCCTGGCACAGTGTAGGCATCACAAGGTCCTATTTACAATTTACTCAAATGTACAACACACTCCATTGATACAGATCAATAATGTGTCGTATGACAGAAAAATTCACAACCAATGCTGATCCTGACTGTTCAACCCCACAAAGGGAGACTTACTGCCACACAGGATACAATAACACTATTGAAAAGCAAAGCAAAACAAAGAAGGAGACTTGGTGGTGCAGTTGGTAAGCACTTGGCTGCCAACCAAAAGATCAGTGATTCTAATCCACCAGTCGTCCAGCAGGAGAAAGAAGTGGCAGTCTGCTTCAGTAGAGATTTTCAGCTTGGAAACCCTATTGGGAAGTTCTACTTCGTTCTATAGGTTGATATGAGTCAGCATCTACTCAATAGCAGTGGGTAGGGTTTGGTTAGTGCTCACATGATAGATAACATATCTTATTCCTTTTTTTTCCCCCAATAGGACGGTATAGAAATGCCGTATTTTGAAAATTTCCTGGGTTTAAAATACAAAAAATAGAATAGTCTTATAACAAATGGAGTACAATAATTACTGTAGATTCTGTCTATGACATTTTAGGAACTGGAACATTACATGATGTATATTTGTGGAGGCATGTTGCTTCTAATCTTTAATCTATTTCAGTTTGTTCCACACTAGAGAACATTGGAAAATACAACCTGAAAAGAGTCTGCACTTTTAGTAGTCTTGAAAAAGTCAAGCCTCTTTTTGTGTTTCTGCTGCAATAATCTGGCTTCTACTTTTATTAAAGGTCATAAGTCAGAGAATGTGTCTAATAGGAGATTTTCTTTTTTGCCAAAGGACAAAGCTCTGCAAATATTTTCTGATATTTGAACTAATGGAACTTTTGACACTCTAATCTTTAATTTCTTAGGCATTGGTAGATAACTTGTTTCCCCAAGATTTGTTCACCAGGTGTTTTAATATTCATTCATTCAGCAAATATTTATGCAGGTCTCAGTTTATGGTAGGCATTCTCCTGGTGGTGGTTGTGAGCCATTGAGTTGGTTCCGACTCACAGCGGCACTATATAGGGTTTCAGAGACTGTAAATCTTATGAGACCAGAAAGCATCATCTTTTTAACTCAGAGCAACTGGTAGATTCAAACTGCTGGCCTTGCATGTTAGCAGCCCAGTTCATAATCCACTACACTTCCAGGGCTACTGAGGCACTCTGCTAGGGTTTGAGATTTAGTGTTGAACAGAAAAAGGCACAAGGTTCTTAAATAATGATATCCACAATTTAGTAGGGGAAGACAGTTATCAAACTTAGTGGAGGAAGAGAGTAACATGAATTTGTTACACTATTGTTATAGTTTATAAATCCATGGTACTATGAGAATATCTAAATGGGATCTGACCTAGGAAAGGAGGTCAGGGGAGACTTTCCTGAGAAAGTGGCAATTGTACTCAGTTACTATTGGTAAGAGTTAAAATTGCATTCCAGGACTATTCTGTACAAAGGTTCTATGTGGTTAGAGGGAATGACATCTACAAGAGAATTGAAATAGGTCAGCGTGGCTAACCAGGAGAAACATGGTGGAAATAAAATGAGAGGAGGAGGAATCAAACCATGCAGGTGGTAGGTCCCATTGGGGATACTGCCTTTATTTTAATTGTTCAGGAAAACGATCAAGAGTTTATAAGTAAAAGAAAACAAGATATGTTTTGTAGGAAGCACACTAGACAGAAGAGTGAATATGAGATAACAGTTTACTGAAGCTGATCAGGCATCAGATGATGGTATTTTTCATCAACGTGGTGATTGAGAATGGTGAATAAATATATTTGAGGTAAATTACACAAGACTTACTTACAAACTGAATATATAGCATGTCTACTGGATTCCTAGCTTGGCTAAATATTTGGATTATGCAGACTTGATGTATGTATTCTCCAAGGAAATACTGAATGACTCTTTGGAACTTATTCAACCAATAATGATAGAGCATCTAGTCTGTATTATTCTAGTTGTTGGTGTTACACAAATGGATAAAGCAAAGTCCCATAAACCTTGTGCGTGTTGGTGCCAGAAAGTCTGGTTGACTTTAAGGTAAAAGATAGTGTAATTACAATGAAAACAGTGTTTAAACTATTAGCATTCAATTCTTAAATGTTGGCAGAATGGAAATAAAGCATTTTAAAAAGTACTTCTCAATATCCAACACCTCTTATTTGTGTGAGAATCTCAGGGAAAGTAATGGGACAGGAGGAATACTATAGCAAGTGGAGCCAGGGAATGTGCTAAAGGCACAGAGCTGGTTTCAACTCACTGATTCTGTATAGGGTTTCCAAAAAGTGGCTGGTAGGTTTGAATCACAGACCTTGCAGTTGGCAGTTGAGTGCTTATCTTACTACACGACACCAAGACCCCCAAAGTCACAAATCTGTAAGTGAAGTCATCACTTGCACCCAGAGATTTCCCCCTCCTTTTTTTTTAAAATAAAACCGTAATACCAGTAACCAGTTGGCATGGAGTTTAACTCAAGGCAATGTGGCATGTGTGTTAAAGAAATGTGCTCTATAGGATTTTCAAGGGCTGAGTTTTCTTAAGAAATCAGATTGCCAAGCCTCTCTTTTGAGGCATCTCTGGTGGATTCAGCCTCCAACCTTCTGGTTAGAGTCCGAACATATACAACACCATCTGCAGCACCTATGGACTCCAAAATCATAGAAACTGGTAAAACAGTTTACTGAAGAATAAAAGGATATTCCTTTTATTTTTTTTGAAAAACCAGCCAATTAAAAACAAAACACAGAATCATGGCATCCTTTTTCTCAACTAGGAAAAAGAACAGTAAGTCTGGAAAAAAAAAAAAAGTACATTTCTGTCTTCATTACTAACTGAGGTAACAAACAGATTTTCTTTTGGCCAAATGAAGGCAATACATCCAGGATAATTCTGATTTTTACTTATCATCACAGAAATGAACAATTTCGGGTATGTATCTTGAAAGCTCATGCCAAGTGGAACTTGGAACCAAAGGAAAGGAACAGCAACAAAAACAAAACAGGCTTACTTGCCCAATATTTGGTTTCTTTCTTCATTTGAGAAAAATGAGTGAATAGTTTCTTTGTCTCTATAAAGTATCTCAGATTTAGCTGGTTCTTAATAGATAGTCCTCAAAGGGCTTGTTTTAGGCTAATGCTCTTTTGCTTTCACTAACAAGCTTGACTTTGTAATTATATTACCAAGTTTGATTCTAGTGTTTTAAGGACATGACTGACGTCCTTTGATTTATACAATGCTTAGTGGGTTTGAAAAATTAGTGATAGGAATCTATCTTCCTTTCAACTCCCACGTCACAATTCTGAGGACTATCAACTCTCATTTGGCAGGTATATTATCTGTGCACGTACCAGAAAGAATGACATATTTTCTTTATACCTACTAAATTTCCAATAAAGCAAACAAAAGCAACCACATTTAAACTCAAGTTTCCAAGGAAATTATTTACCAAAATAAATTTATTGAAAGTATTCAAAGACCAACATCAACATTTAGCTGCCTTCAAGACAGTTTTTGGCACTCATAATGGACATGTAGTTTTCAACACAACTGCACTCATTCTATTTCATACACCATCTAACAATTTAAATACAGACTGTTTCAGTGTAAGTGAGACAACATTACAATGATTGGTAGCCTCTAGAACTTCAATATCCTTGCATACAGTAAACATTTTAATGTTACATAGTCTAAAAAAACAAAAACTAAAACCACCATGTAGTAACATGGACTGATTTAGGCAAAGACATACACAGCCAATAAGCTAAGGCCTCATAATCCCAGATCTGATTTAATACTTCTGGACCGTTAGCATTACATCATATCTTTCTTGTCACATCCCTGCTTTTTCAGCATGAGAAACACCACGTTCACACCATGACTCCCTCTCCTCCCTGTGCCCTAAATGCAGTGATAGGAGCATCATGATACAAACTTCTCCTAGATTGGTACTAGCTTTCTGAGTCATTATCCAACTTTGAATTAATAGTTATGAGCGATGTTTACTGAACACTCAGGCTGAATTCAAGGTTAGTCTTTTGGTTTCTTGACCAGTCAAAGCCTTTCTGCTTAGGGAAGAAAAAATCCATTTATTGGCTCCTATTTTCATCTCATGTAGTATGGGGGTCTGTGGGGAATTGTGGCTTTTTACACAAGTCCTGGTAGAATTCTGACTCCAAGAAGCGGGGATAAGAATTGTTCTCCATTAAGCTGTATACCCTTTTCTGGGCCGTTGTAAAACAACCACTTGTAGCTTCTTGTATATTTTGGGCAATTAAAGTTTTTGTTTGAAAGTCGATGTTTATCTGAAATAAAAGAGAAAAATACTGACTATTGTTAGAGACATTAAAATCTATTTAATATATATTAAATAGGCACTCCGCAGATTATCAACATCTGTGGTTACAAAACCATCCCCATAAAGCTTATTAAAAACTGAGGTATGTACAAAGATTTATAATAACAAATGTTGTTACTTTGTGATGTGATTCAAAACATTATTGTACTAGTATCTTAAAAATGATTTTGTGGTTTGTATGCATAGAAAGGAGTCCTGGTGTGGTGCTGTTGGTTAATGTGTCAGACTGCAAAGCCATCTGAACTGGCAGGTCGGCGGTTCAAGCTCACCAACTACTCCTCAGAAACCTAAACAGGGTTGCTATGGGTCAGAACCGCACATAATGACTTGACTGCACATAACATTCATAGAAAGGTGTATCATATATACTATATTAAGGGAAACATTTGACTGACTTTACCATACCTAACTATTCTGATTTATCAAATTTAGGAGTGGAACCAGTTCATAATCTAGGGACTGCCTGTAATGTGTGATTAGCTTTACCAGTCTGTCACCAGAAAACATGAAAACTAGAACTGTGGTTGGGCCGTGCTGAGTGTGTGTGTGTGTAATCCTCTTACCACTTGGTGGCTTCCCTATCCTTTTCATTTGAAATCATTTAATTCTTTTTATTTCATTTTTGTACTTATTGTTGTTTGTTGTTAAGTGCCATTGAGTTGGTTCCAACTCATAGTGATCCTGTATAGGGTTTCTGAGGGGTGGCTGGTGGGTTTGAACCATTGCCTTGCAGTCCAGCACATTATCCTGCATTGCCACACCAGGGCTCAAAATGGGCTGAAATATTTTTAAGTATTTATTTATTTATTTTACCTCTTTTGGAGCTTCCTTTTCTATGAAGTCAGTATATATTTTCCTTGCTTTTGAAGACAGCTTTTGGGGTGACTTAGTTTTTTTGAAGTCTTCACAGGCCAGCCAGAATTCAATATTTTCTTCACAGAATTCAGATTTTAAAAAAGCTCTGAATGCAGCAAGACCATCTGGAAGAAGACAAAAATGTATGCAGGCATGATTTTTTTCCTAGTATTCCCCCGCCCCCCCCCCACTGTAATTATTTCTAGATGACAGTTATTTTCTAGATTTCACTCAAACTAGTAATTCTGAATTTAGCTCTTTAAAATTTAAAAGTTAAGATGCCAGTAGGCAAGCTGCTTGATTTGGCGCACTGCTAAAGAAATATGAAAAGTTAACTTTACTGTCAATGAAAAATAAATATTTATAGGGGAGCCATAAATTCTCTGGGAACTAAGCCTTTTGAAAACATTGCAATGGAAAAGCTGACTTAATCTTAAATAACAGCAACTGCCACTTAAATTTTAGGCTAATAGTTCTTCTCCAGCTAGAGTGAATTTCCACCATTAACCACCGAGAAAAAAGAGAGTGGAAACAGAGGTCTTATGCATTGTTGATGTTAAGTGTTGTTAAGTGACTCATAGTGACTCTGTATAGGGTTTCCGAGGAGCGACTGGTGAGTTGGAACCACTGACTCTGTAGTTCAAACTGACCTGTGGTCCAGTGCTTATCCTACAGCATCACCAGGTCTTATGCATAGTGACTGCAATGGTGGTGGTGGTGGTGGTTATGTGCAATAGAGTTGGTTCTGACTCACAGTGACCCTATACAGGGTTTCAGAGGTTGCAACTCTTTAAGAGCGCAGAAAGCCTCATTTTTCGTCCGTGGAACCACTGGTAGTTTTGAATTTAGTTTAATTCCTTTCAGATCAGCCACTCTTCTGTTGGGTTGATATAACTTTTGTAAACTCCTGAGCCACTTGAAATGGATCAAATTCAACAGATTAACTTACATTTACTGGCTAGTAGCTCATCAAATGTTTCTGACCACAGCTGTGCTTCTTCAGGAGATGGCCTGTAAGAGAAGTTTTGCACGTGAGCTTACACACCTCAGAAGTCCTTTTTTGTTCAGCAAATAAGTATTTGTAAGTAAAGATTTTCAACTTACTTGATAAAAGTTTGCTGTTTGCTTTTCTTGCCAGGTTTGGGTTTTCCAGGTGTGGAGGAATTTTGTAAGAAGTAGCTCAAACGGGCCTTCCAATCCTTTAATCTTGTTTTTTAAAAGAAAGAAGATCGACTAAGTGGCAATGTTTGAGAATGAAATTACTGCAGCTGAACACATTTTTTTTTAATGAAACTATTGCAGCTGAATGCATTTCCCCCTCACCCCCAAAACACAGTTTTCCAGTAGCTACAAACCACACAAAATCAAACAGGAGCTCTCCAGAGGAGATGTCTTTTCCTTTTAATATAATGTATTGCATAGACAATTTGTTTCATCCATTATTTGAACATAGCTATCTAAAATCACTTAAGTATTTACAGGAATTAAGTTTACGTTGTTCAATGCAACAGCAAGTTTCTCTGCACGGCTAGTTACAACTAACTACAGGACATTTCACACTTGATGAAACCTCCAGGAAGCTGATCTTCATTTCCTCTCTACGTTTACAGCTGGTGGATTTGGATCACGCTGGGGTTTTTGCACAGTTGGTCTGCACACAGTGAGTTTGCACACTCTTCGTCCCCCTTCACAACTACAGTTCTCATTTTAAGCAAATGCTGACCAGCCATAAACTACCCCACGCAGTCTGAGTGGGGGTGGCTTCTACTTTTGAACTAACAAGATTGGATTTATATTCCGAACCAGCAAAAACATCTCCATACCAGCAAGCTGAAAGCGGATCAAAACTCATAATAAACCCACGAAAGCTGGGGATTCAACCGCAGGATTCCCTGATGTCATTTCAAATGCAGAAGAACAAAAAGTCAGCCTGCAATTCTCGTAGTGCATCCGCCACCGACCTATTCCTGCATATGAGGAATTTCCTCCTCAATTCCTAAATTCAACACGACCATCTTTTGCTCAACTAACAAAACAGATTCAACCTAAATCTTTTATTTTCCTAATATAGATGCACACATATAGATTATTACTATTTTCCTGCAGAGACGGTAACTACCTAGGTTCTCTGTTTTTCAAAGCCGTGACCGGAATCTACCGCTTTTGCAGCAGCCGGGGAGGGCAAATTCGTATTTGCAAATTCATATTTGCAAAAATAGGAGGTAAGGAGCCGTACTCACAGGGTCCGCTTCATCTTCTCCCGCTTCTCTTCACTCTTAGGGCAACTGCCTGCGTTCTTGTCCATCGGGCCACAGTATTCGTGCTGGACTGCCAGGAACATGACACTTGGCATTATCTTCTTCCCGGTCCGTAGCTGTTAGCGAGAGGGAGAGGTCTGCAGTTTTTATAAGAGGCAAAGACGCGCGGGGCAGGGCCTCCCGGCGACAGCCGCACCCTCTGAGAGCGATGATTGGTCCGCTACAGGGAAGAGGCGGGGAGAGCAGCTGGCTTCAGTCCACGCCGCCACGGAATAATTTACTAGCGAGGGCGCTGCTGACGTCTGCAGTCCCCAGCTTCGTGCGCTCTGGAACCACGACTCAGCCGCGCGAGTAAGAACAGGCAGTGTCATGCTCCTACCTTCCCTCTGAACTGTTGCCCGCAACAGTTGTGAAGCGTGTGGCTGGCGCAGTAGAGGCCTGTGCAGGGGCCTCCTGACTACAGGCCCGGCCGCTGCGCTCGTCCTTCCCTCACCCCCTTTGACGTGCCCTGGATCCCCTACAGCGGCGGTGATTCCCCAGCAGTAAACCAATGCGTCGTATTTCCAGTGGGCAGGGATTTCCCACCCGCTCCCGGCGACTCGTTAGTAGCTTACAGTCCTGGTCTTTAAAGTGAGCCCAGGGAGAGGGGTTGGGGAGGGGGCTGGGAGTGACCTCGCTGGGTCCTTTTCCTGAGGCTTTGCTTCGTCTGAGTCTTGGACATTAGGAAGACTGTGTGGGGGAATGAACGTAAATCGGGTAGGAACAGGAGAAAGTGACAGTCTTTGCAATTAGGTTTGCATTTTGACCTTCACACTTAGACTCTTGACTTGCTCTATAGGGTTAATCCTCAGGAGTCCCCGGGCACTTCTGCTTCCAGAACCGGAATCTTAGATCTTACATTGTGTGGGGGGGAGGAAGGGAGAAAGGAACACACTGAGACTGAGGGAGAAGCACTAACACTTGCCAGATGGAATGCTCCGAAATACCAGAATCACTCGAGTAGTTTTAAAGTTCAGGGATACACGATTTCTTCGTGAGTCATTCTTGATTGGCTTAGAATTTACCAGAGCGTGTAACTGGTAAAAAGTAGGCAAGGGTGGGGTGGGGTCGGAAGTTAAATTTGCTTAAATAAGTTTATTTGTGAATTCTTCAAAACTCATCTGTCATCTCCTGCAAGCTTTAAAGTGACTTGATTAGTAACGACTGACAGATTGCTTCAGCTACAAAATGATTTGATTTCAGAGAAGAACACTGCCAGAACCATACTGAGGAAATTCAAGCGGTTTCCCCATCTTAATTACACAGTAAGATTTACAGCAAGATATTTCTTGATTGGGATGTAAATTTTCTCCCAAACTTTGCATTGAAACCCCCTGCTGTGGGTTCCAACTCATACCAACCCCATAGGACAGAGCAGAACTGCTCCTAATGGTTTCCAATGCTGTAAATATGTACCAGAGTAGACTGCACATCTTTCTTCCTGGAATGGAATGGCTGGTGGGTTGGAACCTCTGACTGTTAGGGTTTTAATCTCTGTGCCACCAGGGATCCTTCCTTTGCATTAAAAAACAAAACCAAACCAACTGCCATGTAATTTCAGACACTGTGAGTCCTTATGGAGCAAGTAGCCTCAGCTTCCTCCTGTGAGTAGCTGGTGGGTTTGAACTGCTGACTTTGTTTTCAGTCCATCAGGTTTGTATTAGTCCTGTTGAAAGAACGTTGGAACTAGTCCCCATATTTTAATGTTGGGCTGCCAGTAGCTGGATCTCCAACTTTTAAGTTGCTGGGGGAAATCTGCAATTAATATGAAAGAAAACAATCATGTACTTTATAACAACAACAACAACAACAACTTTATTATAGAAAGGGAAGTAATTTAGATTACAGTTTTAAAAAAAAATAAAAGCAACTTGAAAATATGTTTGTGAAATGTAAGAATGTAAATTTATCAAGCATATGCTTTTCATCTCTACAAGAACTTTTTATGATGTTTCCTATGTCTTTTTTCACTTTCTGATGATTCCGTACTAATTTATTATATA